TATTATAAGTGATCTAATTTCCAAAAATAATGGAATAGTTAAGGTATGGTATAGCCAAATGAGGAAATAATAGGCATCCATCAGCAATTTTGTTTGAGTGTTTTAAAATGATATAGAAAAAAAATAATATGATATAGAAATGAGACTGTGTTCTAATATTATGTCAGAAAAGGGGACACAAGGGTACATCCAGCTCGACAACCATATAAACTTAAAAATCACTTTTATAAAAATTACATATATATACACAAATCTACCTAACACTAAACATTAATATAGTTGTCCCTGGATTACAGGATTATGAGTTTATTTCCTAGTTCTTTATAATTCTATGTGTTTTCCAAATATTCAACTATGAGCATGTACTCTTTCAGTAACCAGAACATAAAAGTAAAAACTGGAAATAAATATAATAAAATATGGTTATCTCTAGGTAGGATGACAGGCAACCTGTATTTTTATACTTTTCTGAATTTTCTAAATTTGTTTCTGATGATATATGTGTTTTTTTATTTTTTAAGATTTTATTTTTAAGTAATCTTTATACCCAACGTGGGGCTTGAACTCACAACCCCAAAGATCAAGAGTCACATGCTCTCCCGACTGAGCCAGGCAGGTGCCCCAAGATAAGTGTTATTTTTGAAAGCAATATATCATATATACTGCTATAGCATCTGTCTCAGCTCTAATTCTAAACCTTTAAACAGTCTCACAAGGAGAGGAGAATTAAGGAGCACTGACATAGATAAATGGACAAAAAGCTGGCTGATCCATTGTTTCAACTGGCAGCAGGCTCTTTTCTCCCTTCTCATCAATCCTAATCATGTCACCTCTAACCACCCCTTCCCACATCATCTTACATCCAATTATAACTGCCGTTTGCCTCAGGGGAGCTAAATATCAATGAAGTCACTTAGGATGATCAAAGAACCAAGAGTAAGCCATTTTTTTAAGTAAGCTCTAGGCCCAACGTGGAGCTTGAACTCACAACCTTGAGATCAAGAGTCATATGCTCCACCGACTGAGCCAGCAAGGTGCCCTGAGAAATGGTAAACTTCTGATTATAGTTTCAATTATTGGCGGGGGGGGGGGGAGCACGTAGTTGATTGGTAAAGAAAACAGAGGGAAAAGGTGGTTTAGACTGAAGCTGTGAGCTTGGTTGACGACTCTAAGATAACTTCCCAGGGACATCATCAAATATGCCTTAAAGATTTTTCTGAGGCAAGACAGAGATCAGAAGGAAGCCCTGATTAAATGGCTTCAGGTAATATGGTGCCACAGTTATGCGAATGGTCAACACCAATGCCAATGCTGATGCTGATGCTTTTCCATTTAGTGACAATGCTGGCTTTGGATCTGTTCTGTTTTGTCTCCTAAGAATGCCCAATAGTTTCTGGGATGCCTTCAGGCAAACCAGGCCATTCTAGACTTCTAACATCACAGTTCCTAGCTCTTGCGCCTTCTATCAACCTGTTGCTAGACTCCTGACCCAGGGGTCCCAGTCTCCAGAACATCACATAAGCCTTTAACAAAGACACAGACAAGAATGGTGGTAGAAGAGCATTCATAGGTGCCGGAAGGAGGGAAAAAAAAGGGTCTATGGTTTTTTCTTCTTTAGAGCACAAAGCGCCTGTACATTTAAAACCAGTGACAGACATGTGACAGACAGTGACAAACACTCACCACTGTTCTACCTATATCAGGATTGAACTAAAACTTAGATTTCACAAGGCCAGAACATGTTACTATATTAAGGCTTCACCAAAAATACCAAATTTTTGTCAGACTGTTTTTTAAAAAATATTTATTTATCTAAGTAATCTCTACACCCAATGTGGGGCTTGAACTCATGACCCTGAGATCAAGAGTCAGATGTTCTTCTGACCGAGGCAGCCAGGCACCCCTGCCAGAATATTTTTTTTTTAAAGATTTTATTTATTTATTTGACAGAGACACAGCGAGAGAGGGAACACAAGCAGGGGGAGTGGGAGAGGGAGAAGCAGGCTCCCCGCAGAGCAGGGAGCCCGATGCGGGACTCGATCCCAGAACCCTGGGATCATGACCTGAGCTGAAGGCAGTCGCTTAACCAACTGAGCCACCCAGGTGCCCCCTTGCCAGAATATTTTTAAGCCTCAATTTTAAAAAACTGATTCATAATTGTATTTCTAAAGCTCAATTTCATTTATATCTAAGTATATTTATGTGTGAAAAAATCATAAAGGATATATACCAAATAGCAACACTACTGAAATAACAAGTAATTTTGATTTACTTTTTGTTTTTTCTTATTTTTTAGTGAGTATGTATATTTTTTTAAAAGATTTATTTATTTATTTTAGAGGGAGAGAAACAGAGAGCGTGCAATGGGGAGGGGCAAAGGGAGAGAGAGAGAATCCCAAGTAGACTCCCCACTGAGCATGGAGCCTGACGTGGGGCTTAATCCAAGGACCCTGAAATCACAAGGTCAGCTGAAATCAAAAGTCAGATGCCCAACCGACTGAGCCACCCAGGCACCCTGAGCTTGTAATTTTTTTATATTTAATTTTTTTTTGGGGGGGGTAGAGGTACTCAATTTGGTGAAAATCAATGCTTCTATACTTTTTTTCTTTTTAAAGATTTTATTTATTTTTGTGAGAGAGAGAGAGAAAGAGCATGCATGCATGAGTGGGGGCTGGGGGAGAGGGAGAAGCAGATTCCCCACCAGATTGCCCACCAAGCAGGGAGCATAATGTGGGACTTGATCCCAGGACCCTGGGATCATGACCTGAGCTGAAGACAGACGCTTAACCAACTGAACCACTGAGGCACCCCATTTCTATACTTTTAAGTAGAAGTATTCTATTTCTGGAATTCTTTACCTTGAATTTTACTGTCATACTCTCTCAAACGATCTCTTTCTAGGTAAATTTTATCAGATATTAACAACAGTCAAATTAAACTGGTTCAACTTAGATCCAAACCATAACTGAAGTTTAGATCAAATTAAAAACAGGGACGCCTGGATGGCTCAGTTGTTAAGCATCTGCCTTCGGCTCAGGTCATGATCCCAGGGTCCTGGGATCGAGCCCCGCATCAGGCTCTCTGCTCCGCGGGAAGCCTGCTTCTCCCTCTCCCACTCCCTCTGCTTGTGTTCCCTCTCTCGCTGTGTCTCTGTCAAATAAATATAATCTTTAAAAAAAAAAAAATTAAAAACAAGTAAACCCAAACTTGACTGCCACTACTTATCCAAAAATGACTTATTTTTTGTGTAAAGGACCTACAGCAAGTGATTCTTTAACATCACTAGGTTGATTCTCTTGTATATATGAAGTACCAAATAGTCACACCAAGAGGTGTTTGACACTGGGATTCAGAAATCTGTAACGAGGGCGCCTGGGTGGCTCAGTCGTTAAGCGTCTGCCTTCGGCTCAGGTCATGATCCCAGGGTCCTGGGATCGAGCCCCACATCGGGCTCCCTGCTCGGCGGGAAGCCTGCTTCTCCCTGTCCCGCTCCCCCTGCTTGTGTTCCTGCTCTCGCTATATCTCTCTCTGTCAAAAAAATAAATAAAATCTAAAAAAAAAAGAAATCTGTAACGATGCTATGAACCTGCCCCTTATAAAATAAGTTACACCTGTTCTGTTAAAGAGCTTCAGCTTTAAGAACAACTCAACTCTTTAAAAACTTCTCAGTTCTAGACATTTCCAGGTTGGAAAAAACAGGCTACGGATCCAGGAAGAGTGGGGTTTTGCAACTGCAATTCTACCCAATGGCAAGTTATGAAACCTGATTCTCAACTTCCTCATCTGTAAAACAAAAAACATAAAAACCACCTCACGACAGTGCTCCAAGAACTGGAGATGATGTATGCTTTCTACCCACAGCAGGCACCTAATACATTATGATGACGTAACTGGTTTAGTTCCTCCTTTCAATGCTAATGCTATAGAGAGACACCACTGTACGTAATATAAAAATGCTTATCTAAAAATAACTATCTGGGGATGCCTGGGTGGCTCAGTCGGTTAAGCGTCTGCTTTTGGCTTAGATCATGACCCCAAGGTCCTGGGATCGAGTCCCACGTTGGGCTCTCTGCTCAGCAGAGAGCCTGTTTCTCCCTCTCCCTCTGCCTGCTGCTCTGCCTGCTTGTGCTCCCTCTCTGTCAAATAAATAAAATAAAAATAACTACCTGCCTGCGGGTGTCTGGGTGGCTCAGTTGGTTGAGCTCTGCCTTCGGCTGGGGGTCATGATACCGGGGTCCTGGGACTGAGCCCCTCATCAGGCTCCCTGCTCAGCAGGGAATCTACTTCTCCCTCTCCCTCTGCTCATGCTCTCTCTCAAATAAATAAATAAATAAAATCTTAAGAATAAAATAAAAGTAACTACCCGCATATGCATTTACAGGTTGGCTGAATCCTGGAAGCAAGGAAGTTGGTTTTCCAGCACCTTCCTTCCCTGCCTAGTACTCTGAGTCTACTTCATGTTGCTTCTTTTTTTAAAGATTTTATTTATTTGTTTGAGAGAGAGAATGAGAGAGAGAGAGAGAGCATGAGATGGAGGAGGGTCAGAGGGAGAAGCAGACTCCCTGCTGAGCAGGGAGCCCGACATGGGACTCGATCCCAGGACTCCAGGATCATGACCTGAGCTGAAGGCAGTAGCTTAACCAACTGAGCTACCCAGGCGCCCCTACTTCATGTTGCTTCTAATAGCCACTACTATGATATCCATCCCCAAAGTAGGACAGTCAGGCTGCATGGTTATAAGGTTCTCATTTCCATGTACTCACTCCTTCCTCCCGTTTCTTTCAGGGCCAGTCAATAGATAAAGTAGGTAGATGGAGAGATGCTGGTTCATTTCATTGATTTTCAAATTGGCAACACAGATAAAGGCAAAACCAACTAGGAAGAACAATATCATTTAATTAAATACTAATGAGTCAAACTGAATTTTGCATCTACAAGCATAAAGCCAAAGGAAATCTGCATTTTGTATTAATAATGCTTAATTTGTCTTTTTCTTTTAGAAAAAGATTTTGTTGGGACACCTGACTGGCTCAGTCAAAGAAGCATGCGACTCTTGATCTTGGGGTCACGAGTTCGAGCCCCACATTGGGTGTAGAGATTACTTAAATAAATAAAACTTAAAAAAAAGGTAAGAAAAAGATTTTGTTGATAAGTCTCCCCTCCAAACTGCCCCTCCCCCACCTTCTCTGCAGCGAAGTGACAACCCTCCATTTAACACCTGTGACTGAGGTTTCCAATATCATTTGAGGAGAGGAGATCTTAATCACAAAATGACAGTTCAACCCAGTAACCTACAACCATAAAACAGGCACCTGGCAGGCAATTTTTGAATACGACAGCAAATCATTTTAAATAAACTTGATCTAATGACCAAAAGAACATGAAGGAGTTATGATTAGCTATGAAGAGAGATCCACTTCTACAGGCCACCAGGACAGGGAGGGAAGCACTGCAGAGATCCTGTACATAGCCCCCCTTTGGTGCTTGTACAGTCCTTACCTGACAGTCAAAGTCCTGGAAGTTTCGTGTACCAGTCTGTCAACAGAAGGCAGAAAACACAGTCAGTTTCCCCATGTGGCTTCCCCAAATGTGCAGCAAGTTCAGTTCACAGAGCAAGCAGTGCACGTGCAGCCTCTTGGTTGCCATAAAACTAAAATGGTTCTCATCACAAGGCTTCAGAGGCAGGGTGGGCTCCTAACATGTTAGTAGAAGGTGAGATTACACTTTGGCAGGCTTTGTGTGAAGATAAAGGAAAGGAGCCCGGTTGCCCAGTAAAGTTTGTACTTCCTGCTTCCCTACCTAAAGAGAGCAATGAGAACTTGCAGAAAGAGGGTAAAACATGGATCAGAGTCTTAGAGCACACTCACAACTCACCTAGGAAGTACCTGGAAAAAACGGGGTTGAAGGCCAACCCTGAGAGGAGCAAAGGAGGGCAGGAGCCAGGGTGCCCAGAACCAGGAATTAAAGGATCAAGAGGAGAACAAAGATACAGATGGATGAGAAATGGAAGACTTGTAAAAAAATTTTTTAAGATTTTTAAAATTTATTTGTTAGAGAGAGAGAGAGCACAAGTAGGGGGAGTGGCCAGCAAAGGGAGAAGCAGGCTTCCTGCTGAGCAAGGAGCCCGATGCAGGACTTGATCCCAGGACACTGGGATCATGACCTGAGCCGAAAGCATATGTTTAACCGACTGAGCCACCCAGGTGTCCCGGAAGAGTCATAAATTTAATAAGGGAAAAAGGCACTGTCACTGAAAGAGGGAAAGACAGACAAAACCAGATTCCTAATGCACTGCCATATCTGTTGCATCCTGTGAAATTGCTGATAGGAAAAAGGACAAGTCACTGAGTCATTTAAAAAGTAGAACATAGTCAAAAGATCCAAGAAGAATTCACCAAGCTTCTAAAAAGAGATTATATCATAGTAATGTTTGATTAAAAAAAAAAAATCAATGCAATGACTCAAATGCATTTTTGTAGCATTTCAGATACCAGAGTTGCAAAAAAATATGACCTAAGAGTATATAAAAAGAATAATGAATGATGTGTTTTAGAGGGAAAAAAACAGTCTGACTTGATCTTTCATAAAGTAAATGCCCCTCCCCTGGAAAAAAACCTTTCATTATTTAGAAACCATGTTATCATAACATATTCTATTCTGTCTAGAATGGCTTCCAGTAGAACTGCTACTAAGCACCTTCCCAAAAGCTGCCCCTCCAGACAGGATCTAGATATCTGATCCCAAAGGAGTGCAGAGCAGTCCCATACCCCTTCCAGAAGATCCTCTTAGAAACAGTTCTGTATCCGGGGGCCTGGGTGGCGCAACTGACTGGGCAGTCAACTCTTGGTTTAGCTTAGGTCATGATCTTGGGGTTGTGATATCAAGCTCTGTGTTGGGCTCCGTGCTCAGGGTGGAGTCTGCTTAAGGCTCTCCCTCTCCCTCTGCCCCTCCCTGCATCTAGGATAAATAAATAAATCTTAAAAAAAAAAGAAGAAGAAGAAGAAAGGAAAGAAAGAAACAGTTCTGTGTCCACCCTCTACACTCCCGGCAGGACAAAACAGGGATGTTAAAAAAACACAGCCCAGGGTGTAAAACACACACACACACACACACACACACACACACACACACACCCTAAAGATATAAGCTGTCCTCTCCATAAAAGTAACTAGCAGAACCAGCTGAGATGATATAGAGTGGCACTATGCACTACGGTAGCCATTTAGCTACATGTGTCAACTAAAATTTATTAAAACAAAAAATCCAGGAGCACCTGGGTGGCTCAGATGGTTAAGCGTCTGCCTTCGGCTCAGGTCATGAACTCAGGGTCCTGGGATCGAGTCCCACATCAGGCTCCTTGGGAGTCTGCTTCTCCCTCTGCCTGCCACTCCCCCTGCTTGTACTCTCCCCCTCTCTCTCGCTGGCAAATAAAGAAAATCTTAAAAAAAAAAAAAAAAAAATCCAGTTTCTCACATTACTCACATTTCAAGTGCTCAATAGACACATGTGGTTAGTAGCTATTGTATTATTGGGCAGTGCAGATATAGAAAGATTCTGAAAGAATAAGGCTATGGATGAGCACACCCTTGTTTCTCTAAAAGTGGCAGTAAAGCCACAACAGATTACCAATCACAGAGAGAAGAGGTGGCACTGAGAACAGGAGAGTCGTAGAGACTGCTAGTCTGAAGTATTATTCCTGGCATGAAACCAAGTTCACAAAATAAAGTCTGATGCAGTCACAGCATGGAAAGACAAGTCACCATGCAGATGGGACCATGCAGCACATCTCCAAAGAATGCTGCCATCGGCAAAAGGATCATCGTGTTCCACGTCTCCCACTAGTCTCACACAATACCTGAGAACTCTTTCAGAGAAGTCACTGTGTTTAATTTCTAGTTAGACTATGAGAAGCAAAAAGAAGGGCCCTCTCATGGACTAGGGTAGATGGTTTCAGTAGGACATGGTCATTTAGTGAAAATAAATTAGGATACAAATAGTCTTTACATTTTGACCTCAACTACATGAATATGCACCACAAAGACTAGCAGAAAAATACCAAAACATTAACAATAGCAGCTATTTCTCAATAGAGAGATGATGGATGATTATAATTTTCCTTATACTTCTCTACAATGAGCGAGTACTTCCCTTTTTGTAACTAGAAAACTAGAAAAAAAAGATCTGGTATGGTACCAAAAATATGTAACTTGGTATTTTGTAATATAAGATTTAAAGATTCACTTAATCTTTTGAGGAAATAATGTATAATGATGTAAAAACAGATCATATTAGGACTTCGATCTTACAGGGCTTCCAGAGGTTCCTTTAGAGATTATTTAGAAAGATTAGAGAAAATCACTCTAGACTGAAGTAAAATCTTGGTCATGGAACACAGAGACACAAATTCTGATGAGCTATTTGAGAAGCAGAGGTCCGTATATGCATGAATTCCCTTCCTCACAACCACATGATCACAGTCATGAGGCATTCTGTGAGTTCCTAAAGCCTGAGATGAGCACAAAGCCTCTGAAACACCAAAAGCAGAAAGAGGCAATTCTCTCCAGAAATCAAAGCCACTCTTCTTTGTTAAGCATCTAGCAAAAAACAACTATATGTTCTTTATCACACATACACAGCTAGACTCCCAGAAAAAAGGTACTAATAACTGGATGAAGACTATCTAACACTTGTTTACTTTAATTCTAGTATAATTAATGTACAGTGTTACATTAGCTTCAGGTATACAATGTAGTGATTCAACAATTCTATACATTCCTCAGTGTAACACTTATTGTTGTTTTAAATTTTTTTTTTTTTAAGTAGGTTCCACGCCCAGCGTGGAACCCAACGCAGGACTTGAACTCACAACCCTAACACCAAGCCCTGAGCTGAGATCAAGAGTCAGACGCTTAACCAACTGACCCACCCAGGCGCCCTTGCTGTTGTTGTTTTAAAGACATGCCAGACGGGTCTTAGAGAATGGCTTCAAGCTTCCTGAGTGATCATCTTAGAGAAAGGATATGAACAGGTCTGTCTGACAGTATTTGGCATCCAGAGTGTCTGAATGGAGATCATTAGCTGGTCCCCACTCAACTGTGGTAAACTGAAACCATATTCTCTGAACTCATTAAAAATTCAATACTACTCACTGGGTGTATCCTAGAAGGAGAAAGAATTCCCTGGCCACTTATCTATCTTTGATATTTGAGGTACATGGTTACACTCTAACAAAACTTCTAGAAGTTTCAAGTTCTGCGTGTTTTCTTTTTTCTTTCTGTCCATTTTGAAGATACCAGTAATTCCATGTTCAGAGAGATTCTTGCACTAAGCAGACTTAATTAGCAGAAAGAGATTCAAGAAAGAAATTAAAATAATAGAATAATTTGGGGAAAGACAGAAAAAAGAGTAAGTCAAGAAAAAAGATACATCATTACTGTAAGTTACAGTTAAGGTAGAAGCCAGCCAAGGGGAGTATTTTCTGGTGTAGCCTCAGAGCCAAATGTAGAAGGTAAATGAAGCAGCTCAAGAAGGTAAATTAAAAAGAAGTCATTCTCTCAAATACAAGCCTGGAGAATAAGCAAGAAGCAACTAAGAATAGATCAATGAATGAAGAGAAGTATGAAAATAAGGGGGTGGGGGGGATATAAAAAAATAAGTAATTGCTAGGGAGAAGAAAAATGTAGTTTCCCAACATGAGATCTAGTCAAGAGGCATATATAGTTTCAAAAGACAGAAAACAACAGATATAAAGAAAGGCAAGATGTGTAAGACCTTAGAATCAACTACCAACAGGAAGAGATCTGGGGTAAATCTACCTCTTCTGTGAACTTGAAGTGGGGTCGGGGACCTGTGTCTGATTTATCACTCTACTCCCAGTCCTGGTACTTAGTAAATGCAGTAAACATCATTTTGCAAAGGTTATAAGCATCTCAAAATAGAGACAGTCAATTTGAGTTAAGAAATGAATACCAAAGTTACATGCAATTGATATGCTAGGAACTAAAGTAGGGAGAAAGAATTGTTACAACAGTAAAAATTTTAGAAACAAGCTGATTTGAAAAAAAAATGTCAAAGAATAAAATATGGCATTTTTAGTAACAAAAGACAATAATCCTTACCAAGAGAAAG